CCTTGCTAGTGCACGCGACCACATCCTTAGCCAGCACCCGGGTGATCTCACCTTGCCAGCCTTTGTCACCACCCTGACCGAGATCGAGACTCGCCAGCGCCCTATCGCTCAGTCGAGCGGTGCGCCGGCAGTCTCTATCTTTCACGGCTGTGCCTCTCCCAGTGCACGTTTACTGACGTTTCGGCTGCGGTCGCCACTGCGACCCCTCTGACCGAGACTGCAGCTGCGGTACACCCGCAGCAGCGCTCGCGCCGCGCCGGTCGTGGCCGCCATGGAGGGCGTGGTGGTGGAGCTGGTTGTAGTAGTGGTGGTACCGGGGACAGTGGTTCTACTGAGGGGACTGCCGTCGCCGCAGCAGCAGGAGTAGCCGCCGCAGCCGTCGCAGCAGTCGCAGTCGTCGCAGCAGCTGTCCCAGCCCCAGCCGTGGGCTCGCCTCCCCCCGGGTTGGCCCGGCACCTCCGTAGGTGGTGGCCGTGGTAGCGGCCCGCGCAGCTTGGCGTCTACCGGCAGCTCCGTTGGTGTGACCTGCCAGTACCAGCTTCAGACCGGGCCTCTCCGCAGCACTCTGTGCCGCCGCCCGCACCCGTCCGCCCGCTGTTTCCGCCGCCTCGACGATCTCTTTCGTCATCGCTTTGGCCTGGCCCCGGACCTCCCCGACTGGCACAGCCTGCTTTGCCAGGGCGTGCCGATCTTTGATTTAGATATGGATCAGATAGGTGCTGCTTTGCATGCCTCGTATGCTGACGCTTCTAGTGTTGCTGGATCTTATTACCCTGTGTACTCTAGTTTCGGCGTAGCACCCTTGTGTAGTTTAGCCTCCCCTGCTGCGTCAGACGTAGGACTGCGTAGTTTGCCTAGCCTAGTTTCTGCACCTGCTCCGTTCCCGGCCTCCGCTACTGCCTCGCTGTCCTTCACTCTCGACTCCGGTGCTTCTGCCTGTTTCTTCCGCGATCGCTCCACGCTCACGCCACTTGCTGCGCCTACTGTTGTCGCTCTCCCTAACCCCTCCGCGGGTCCTGTCGTCGCTCGCAGCTCCACTTCCCTTCCCTGTCCAGCCGTTCCCTCTGGCTCTCTTACAGGCCTCCACGTTCCCTCGTTCTCCAGGAACCTGGTTGGTGTCGGCCGTCTTCAGGACCTCGGCGTCACCACTAGGCCTCCCCGAGTCGCTCCCCGCACTTCCCCCCTCGAATGCGCCACCGTGCACGCCTTGCGTCGAGGGCCGGCTCCGCCGTGCCCCTCACTCCTCCTCACTTCGCCCTACTACTGCTCCCCTTCAGACCCTGCACCTTGACGTTTGGGGCCCAGCCCCGTCCCTGGACCGCGCGGTGAGCGCTACTTCCTTGTGCTCGTCGACGACTACACGCGCTACACCACGGTGTTTCCCCTGGAGCGGAAGGCCGACGTGCCCGACGTTCTTCTCCCGTGGGTTGTGGCTGCGCGTCTTCACCGCGGTCTCCTAGTGTTGTGTCTCCACTCTGACCATGGCGGCGAGTTTGCCTCTGGTCGGCTTGGACAGTTCTGTCGTGCGGAGGGCATCACCCAGTCGTACACCTTGCCGGACTCGCCAGAGCAGAATGGGGTTGCTGAGCGCCGCATCGGCTTGGTCATGGAGGTTGCTCGTACCTCCATGATTCATGCCGATGCCCCCCATTTTTTGTGGCCGTTCGCTTTCCGCTACGCTGCTCACTAGCTTAACCTGTGGCCACGCTCCTAGCGGCCGCGGGTTTCGCCGACCCTCCTTTGGACCGGGTCCCCCGGTGACGCGTCTGTGTTCCACGTCTGGGGTTGCCTTGCTCACGTTCGTGCCTCTGGCACGGACAAGCTCATTGCCCGCACTGTCCCCTGTGTCTTCCTCGGTTTCCCCCTATACTCGTCTGACTGGCTCTTCTACCACCCGCAGTCTCACCGGTTCCTTCACTCTCGTTACGTCACCTTTGACGAGTCTGTCTCCTTCTACCGTCGCTTCCCTCACCGAGGTCTCCCGGTTCCCCCCCCTTGTTCCTGGCTCCCTCTCTCCCGGTAGCCCCTGCTCCCCTCCCGCCTTGTCCTGCCCCGTCTGGTGTTTCCCATGTTACTTTCTTCCCGTCAATTGTCCCTGTTGAGGAGTCTGCTGACTCTGGTTTTCCCCCCAGCCCGTCCTTGCCGCGTCCCCCTTCCCCGGTGTCTTCGCCTCCGCTGTCGCAGCCGCCGCCGCCGCCGCCGCCGCCGCCGCCGCCGCCGCCGCCGCCGCCGCTGCCGCCGTCGCTGCCGCCGCTGCCGCTCTTGGCCCCTTGGGGTGCTGGCGTTGAGGAGGGTGTTCGTCCTGCGGCCCCTGGCGTGGTTTGTCCTGGCGGGCCTGCGGGTGCCGCCGGTGCTAGAGGGGGTTCTCTCTCTGGGGGTGTTGGTTCTGGGGGTGCTGCTGTTGAGTGTTCTCCCAGCGGCCATCGTGCCCCTGCCGGTCCGCGGGTCGAGCACCAGCCGCCGCAGCCATCGCCGCCGGTCTCCGCTCTTCGCCTGCTCGGCCTTCCCTCCCCCGACCGCTCGCCGATGTCTCCCCCACCACCTTCTCACCTTCCTGTCTCCGGCCCTATGTTCCCACCGCCGGACTCGTCTCCGGCCCGTCTTCCTCCTCGTTCCCCTTTTGTGTCCCCTCCACTGTCTCCTGACCCTACACCTCCGTCCCACATTTGGTCTCGCCGTCCCTCCCGTGCTCGTCCCGTCTCTCCTGTCCTGCGCTCCCACCCTATGTTGCTCCGTTCCCACTCCTCTCGTCCTCCCCTCCTCCCGTCGCCTCCTCCCTCGTTGCTTGTTGTTGCACCTCCCCTTCTGTCTGACTACCTCCGTGCCGCTCATCCCCTTGTCCCTCGGGTTCTTGCCTCTCTTGTTACAGACCCGTCTGTTCCTGTCTCGCTCCTTGACGCGCTTGTCGCGGCTGTCGCTGACTTCGCCTCTACCCGCCGCCTTGACTACGCTACCGCTCTGGTCTCTGACCCTGCCCATCCTCCGTCCGTCGGGGTTGCACCTACCCTTGGCAGTGACGTTCTAGAGGACTAGCAGTACGAGCTTGCTTTCCTTTCCGAGGCCGCTCCCCATCTCTGCTCCATGCTCCTAGTCCCACAGGGTGACCCAGACGCCTTCGACATCCTGACCCCTCGCACCTACGCTGAGGCCACCTCGAGACCTTGGGCCTCTCAGTGGATAGCTGCCATGGAGCAGGAGATGGCATCTTGGAGGTCCACCGGCACCTACGTCGACGCAGTTCCCCCGCCTGGGGTGAACGTAGTCGATGGTCGGTGGCTCTTCAAGGTGAAGCGCCCCCCTGGAGAGCCGACTGTCTTCAAGGCACGCTACGTGGCCAGAGGTTTCAGTCAGCGAGAGGGGGTTGAGTTCTTCTAGACCTTCGCCCCGACCCCGAAGATGACCACTCCTCGGGCGCTGCTACACGTAGCAGCACAGCGTGACTACGAGCTTCACTCCCTCGACTTCTCTACTGCGTTTCTTCAGGGCAGCCTACACGAGCAGGTCTACCTGCGCCGACCACAGGGCTTCACTGGTACCTTCCCCCCTGGGACCCAGTGGCTTCTCAGGCGCCCGCTCTACGGCCTGCGCCAGGCTCCTCGCGAGTGGCACGACACGCTGCGTGCCACGCTAGCAGACCTGCAGTTCTTTCCGTCCTCTGCTGACCCCTCGCTGTTTGTGCGTTCCGGCCAGATTCCGTTCTACATCCTTGTCTACGTAGACGATCTGGTCTTTGCTACTGCTGACAGGGACGCACTGGCCTCTGTGAAGGCCGAGCTGCTGAAGAGACACACCTGCACTGACCTTGGAGAGTTGCGTCCCTATCTTGGCCTGCAAATCTCCAGGGACAGAGAAGCACGCACCATCACTCTGACACAGTCACACTTGGTGCGTCAGGTCCTTCAAAGGTTCGGTCTTCAGTTCTCCTCCGCATAGCCCACACCTCTACCTGTAGACCATGGGCTCTCCGCTCCCGTTCCTGAGGAGCCAGTAGAGCACAGCGGCCCCTACGAAGAGCTGGTGGGTTGCCTCATGTACCTGATGACTTGCACTCGCCTAGATCTCGCATACCCTCTCAGCATCCTGGCTCGCTTTGTGGCCACTGGCAGACACCGACCACAGCACTGGTCGACCGCTAAGAGGGTTTTGCGATATCTAGCAAGTACATCAGGCATGGGGTTAGTGCTAGGAGGACGCAGGCCAATGGTCCTCACTGGGCACACAGACGCTTCTTGGGCAGACGACTCTGAGACACTCAGGTCGTCGCAGGGCTACTGTTTTAGCCTTGGTTCGGGTGCTATCTCTTGGAGATCCACTCGCTCGTCGTCTGTTGCTCAGTCCAGCTGTGAGGCTGAGATCTACGCCGGTGCCATAGCGGCACAGGAGCTCCGCTTGCTGACCTTCTTGCTCACAGACTTAGGTGAGCTGCCTAGCTCTGCCCCTGTCTCGTACGCTGATAACAGGGCCATGATTCTCGTGTGTCAGGAGCCTCGACTTGAGGGCAGAGCGAAGCATATCCAACTGCGGTACTTCCTCCTGCGCGAGCAACAGCAGCGTCGCCATGCCCGCGTAGTTCACTTAGCCTCAGGTGCCAACACAGCTGATGTCTTTACTAAGGCGCTTGCGCCTAAAGATCATCAGCGGCACTGTGTACAGCTTGGTCTTGTTCCTGTAGTTACTCACCTGTTAGGACCCTGATTGTGTACTCTATTATATATTCCTGTTTGACTGGCCTTGTGGCCTTACCTCCTGTGGCTGGACTAGTAGTGCCGCCCTGGCTTGCTTTAGTCTTGCTTGTACTCTTGCTGACTGGTCTCAGGACCCCTACCTCAGTGGTTGTACTAGTAGTGCCACCCTGAGATGTGTGCTTCTTGCTGAGCACCACCCCTTCTCTAGCCTAGGGGGTGTGTCAACTTATACATATGCTGTATGTAGAAGTTATAGGCTAGCCTATGTGTGTGTTTCTAGTGAGTACAACCTCAACAGGTATATGTTCTAGGTTTCTCACACTAGTCCATTCATTCTCTCTTTCTAACAGAGTACACTCCCGACCTGACTCCTGGCATAGCAGGAGCGAGAAACACCTCACACCCTGAGTGTTTTCCCTCAGCACTCCCTAAGCACTGGCAAAGGCTCATAGTCTCTGAGGATGGTAGAAAAGCGCGAAGGTTAGTGCGTCGACGAATCAGTATGCTAACGGGTAGTTTCCCGTAAATTCCGTCTTTGAACGGGTAATTCTGAGCCGATTCCTTTCACTAACGGAATCCCCTAGGCCTTAGCAAGAGGCCTGCACACGACCTCCCTTGCTGGAGCCAACCTGTGGTTGCCTGTCCGGAAATGTTGCCCTCCCCGTTATAGTGAGCACCTCCAACGCCCATAGCGTCATGGTTCTTGCATTGAAGATGGGGTAAAAATGCAATGAAGGGTAAATCAATTTGTAGAATGCTTGTACATGCTTGCAATGTGCATGCAGAGTGCAATATCTCGACCATCCCCCCAGCCACCCTCTCCACTGACAACCGGCCACGTGTACACAGGTAAAATTACGATGGGCGCTTCTTTATGGATTGAATCCCTCTCGTCTTGCGCTGTTAGTCGAAATACTTCAGCGGATCCCACTTCCCCACGAGAAGCTTGGGATCCTCCATTCCCACTCCAATTCCCATTCCCATTCCCCTCCCCATTCCCATTCCCATTCCCATTCCCATTCCCCCATTCCCATTCCCATTCCCATTCCCATTCCCATTCCCATTCCCATTCCCATTCCCATTCCCATTCCCATTCCCATTCCCCTCCCCATTCCCATTCCCATTCCCATTCCCATCCCCATGCAATCCATACTCTCCAAAGTGCCATGCGCTGGTGCGGTGCCATCGTAGCATGCGAGCAGACGGCATGTGGTGGGAGATAAGCCCCCACATGGACCTGTCCCAGTTGTACTCATCCAAGTAACAAAACTCCTAAAAACAACGAAGAAAAAGGAGAAAGGGAAAAGGGGGGGAGTGATCATGGTATGTTCATTGTTGTTGTGCACATGCACTAATAAAAAACTCCTGCGAACTGCAAAAGAACAATGCAGCAAACGAGAGGTGGGTGGGGGAAGCATAGGAGAGAAGGAGGTTGGATGCAAGAGGGATGAACGAGGGCAAGGGATGCCACAGATGCACAATGGCGCAGTGCAGATGGGGCAAAAGTCCAACCTTAACCCATCTGCGTAGGACACATGCATACCTCTACTAGTCCGTGCATCATCTCCCACACACTCCTGTTGAAGCTATACCCCGCATTGCCCATCCCATACCCTAGGACGTACCCCACCTATGGACCAACAGGCCCCACAGCCCCACATGCAAGCATACCTCTGCTAGTCCACGCATCATCTCCCACACACTCCTGTTGAAGCTGTACCCCACATTGCCCAGCCTCTCTGCAGTGAAGTGCCGTTTCCGCCTTGAAACTCCCCCCTTCTCTACCGCACTCCCCTCTTGTGCTCGCACTGCAGGCTTCACCCCCCTGTCCTCCATCTCACCCCCCTCCTCATCCTCCACCTCCCCCGCTGTGTCCACTGAGGCTGTCATCATCTCCCTCCACTCCCCCCCACCCCCCTCCTTGTCCTCCACCACTCCGACGTCCGCTGGCGCCAGGCTTGCAGCGATGCATTGGTCGCAGCGGCCGCGGCTCTTGGCGCTTAGCAAAGCGCGGAGGTGGCTAAGCGCGTTGGGGAAGAGCCAGTGGTCCTCCTCTATGAACAGCATGTGGCCGTTGAATGACTTGGTCTCTGGGAGGCCGTCCCACACCGTATTCTGCAGCCACCACCAGTGGTGCTGAGAGGAGGTGAGGGAAGAGAAGGGGGGGAGGAATGGCAAGCGCATTGGACAACGCAGGGGGAGAGAGGAAAGGGGTGCGTTGGGGGAGGTTCAAGGAGGGGGCGAGAAGGAATGGAAGTGCTTTGGTAAAGGGCCAGTGGTCCTCCTCTATGAACAGCATGTGGCAGATGAATGACTTGGGTGGGGTGGCATGCGTCCAGATACACTGCGTGCAGTGGGAAGTCTATTTTTGAGGCGCCTCAAAAATAGACTCCTCAGGCATGTGTCCAGAAACACTGCATGCAGTGGGAGAGCGATCACTGCACGACACGCCAGACACTGAACCCTAAATATATGTCCTGGCGGATGCTGAACTAGAGACATACACCCTGGCGCCTGACCCGGGAGATGCTGTGGTGAGGGGTTACTGGGTGTGGTGAGGGGTTACTGGGAGTGGTGTAAGAAGCACGCAATGGACGGGAACAAGGGAGGAGGGGCAGCGAAGGATGGGAACAGGGAAGGGGAGCAGGCAGAGGGGTGGGGGGTGGGGGGTGGGGGGGGGGGGGATTGGGGGCTCGGGGGGAGGAAGGCAGAGAGGAGGGTGGGCAGGACTGATTAAGGAAGAAATAGTGCACCTTGAGCGAGACGATTCTCGGATCGCGGTACGACCCGAACTCGTCTGCCTGGCCCCAGCAACGCACGCCATCTCCCACCATGCCGTCGCCGTCGCCGTCACGCATACCATCGCTCACAGTCTCCCTTGGCCCCTCATGAATCCCCCGTGCTGGCCACTGGCAGCCTGCTCTGGTCTCCCAGGGGCGCCTTGACTTGCCGCGGCAGTCATCCGGGGCAGCTGCTGGGAAGGTTCCGTTGAAGAGGTGCGGAGAGAAGGGGGAGTGGAGCTGCTTGACCCGGCAGAAGGAGACTGACTGGACTAGCTGGTGCATGGCGGGGTAGAAGCCATCATGGCTGGGGGGAGGAATGAGAGGGGGGACGAGAAAAGGGACGGGAAAAGAAAATGAGAGAAGGGGTTAGAGAGCTCCTTCAAAGAGGACGTCAGACAGAGTACCCGACAATAAGGAGCACCTCCTGTGTACCCACAGAAGCACACAGGGGGCAGCGTGTTCGCAGGGCGCAGGCTGCATACACACATCACAAAAACACATTGTTATCTCGCGCCACTATGAGCAGCACATCCACTCTGCTCAGAGGATTTGGAGGCTATGCTGGATCGCACTACCGATTCAGTATGTTCTTCCCAATCTGCCAAGCAGCAAGTAGGTTATCAACATAAAAACCACGTGGAATGAGTCTGCTTTTGAGTCGACTCAGAAGCAGTTCCATCCACTCTGCTCAGAGGATTTGGAATCTATGCTGGATCGCACTACCGACGCTCTCACCCCATATGTACTCTCAGCTTAGAGACCCATTGTCATCTCATCTCACAACAAGCAGCATCCCACAATGTCACTCTCACCTCACTATGAGCAGCACGTTCTGTATGCCATGCACTTTGCTTAGAGCATCCAGAGTGCGGCTGAGATACGCCGGCCGGTTGTGCACATACAACACGATGATGATGTCATCATCTCCCAATGCTGATGTGTCATCACGCCCCAAAGCTGCCACATCACCATTCCCAACTGCTGCCGCCACCACATCAGCACCCCCCATTGCTGACAGGCTTGCTTTGGTTTGCCTGTCTCGAGGAGAAGAACTCATCGACCCATGTGGTCGCATTATACTTGGCATTTTCCTTGGCATTCTATTCGCTGCTGCCAGCTCAGCGGTCCATTGATTGGCTGGAGGCCACGTGGCGTTGTTCAACCGCAGCTGCGACCTGCGCCAAGTCGAGACAAACCATGCCACCTCCCGCTGCTTGCGTGCCTGCATCAGCCGCCGCAGCCGTGCCTCCGTAGAGAACAGGGCGTTGCCTCTGATGGCGCCGGTCATTGCACGCACCTGGGGGAGAGTGTGGCAAAGGAATGGCACATGGGCAAAGAGCGGGAACAGAGGTGCTGTGGAGAGAGGCATTGCTTGCGTGGCGCATGGCATGATGACTACTGCATGGCACATGGCATGATGACTACTGCATGGCACATGGCATGATGACTACTGCATGGTGCATGGCATGATGACTACTGCATGGCACATGGCATGATGACTACTGCATGGCACATGGCATGATGACTACTGCATGGCATGATGACTACTGCATGGCACATGGGATGGGATGATGCGTGCTAGAATCGCAGGCCAAAGTGATTTTTGAGTCGACTCAAGAATCGCAGGCCAAAGTTCAACTATAGTTTTCTTGACTCCCAAGTGCTGATCTATGCCAATGTTCCAATGCTGGCTACCAAGCTACTAGCCTTAAAAAAACCGTCCGAAACGTACAAGAGGGCTGGGGGGTTGATGGATCACCTGCGACTTTAGCATGGGTTACCTGCGATTTTAGCCTGGGTTACCTGTGACTTCAGCATTCTCAGCTCCCTCTCGTAGTCGTCAATTGCCAAGCCGATGCCCTCCATCGTCTCCGTTCTGTTTTCTCCTTTTCCTCTCGTTTCGTTCTCAGCAGCAGCAGCAGCGCTAACGACGCTCCTCTCCTTGTAGCGAGTCTGCCTGTACCGCGAATGCGCCTGGGGGCACCTGAGCGCCTGAGATTCATCTACGACGCTAGCGCCGGTAATGCGGCCAGAGGCTTCTTCCACTGTCCCAAGGAATATAATTCTTTCCCGCTTTTGAGTCGACTCAGTGCTAGCGAGACTGCGGCCGGAAGCTTCTTCTTTCACCGTGAAAGCGACTTTCCCGCGGGATATTCTTTGCCGCCGCTGCTGCCGCTGCTGCCGTTGCACGTCCACGACGTCAGTGACGAAATCTAGCTCGTTCGATACGAGCCGCAGCAATCCCTCGCGTCCATCCGACCGTCCCCTCTGCTCTGAGGTTCGACCCGACGCCACACGAGGTTCGACCTCCGGTTCGCGTTCAGGGTCGGTTCGACCCGATCCGAGATCGATTTGAAATGAGGATTTGGTGCTTGATGCGGTGGCGATGAACGGCTGGGATGACGCCAGAGCGTCCGTCATCTCCTCGGGATTGTCGCCCCAGAAAAAGCATCCCATCCAATCCTCGAACGGCCAATCAGCGGCTGACAGCTCGAAATAATCGTCTCCGCTTTTGTAGCCTTCGATAGAAGCGTCGGACCCAAACGCGTTACTGTCACGTGACACTGGCCAGATTGAGCTCAAAACGAGTGCGATCCCGCAAAGGAAGAGAACTAGAGTTGCCCGAAGAAAGCGAACGTGACTGAAGCGAACGTGACTGAAGCGAATGTGGCTGAAGCGAATGTGATTGGGTCGAAAGTAAGCATCGCTGGTGCGTCGTCGAGTCGCCATCCGGCAGTACGGCTGGGCCTTCGAGTTGACACAGCGAAATCATAAAACCCTGCCAGGCAGCACTGCTTGAAAGATCTCGCATAGTCGTGACTCGTGACTCGTGACGCTTGAGCCGATGAGTTGGAGGTGTAGTAGCGTCGTACACGACACAACCCTCGGGATCGCCATCTTCTTGATTGCAACCTGCCATGGTTGTGCGACCTCCCATTGTGCGACCTCCCATTGTGCGACCTCCCATGGTTGCGACCTCCCACGGTTGCGACCTCCCACGCTTGCGACCTGCCACCTCCCATGGTTGCGACCTGCCATGGTTGGGACCTCCCATGGTTGCGACCTCCCATGGTTGGGACCTCCCACGGTTGCGACCTGCCATGGATGCAGCCTGTCATGGTTGTGACCTACCACCGACCAAACGAATGATGTCTTCTGCTCGCGGTTGGAGGATGAGATGAGCGAAGGCCATGCCAAGCCACTGACCAAGCCAAGGCTGGGGCTTGAATCAGGTACCTGTACTGACTTGGGGAAGACAAACTGTACGCCTTCGTTATCCAGCTTCATGTCAGTCTGAGAGCGTACTAGGAACGATAACTGTTCAACCTGGCAGTTTGTTGGGTCTCCCTAATGTGAATTTCGGTTACGGACGTTTTCGATTGGGTGCGCGCGATCACGAAACGTGAGTTGATTGGCTGATTTTTACGATTGAAGTAACCGATCTTCCCTTACCTGTCGACAACCGGAACAGGCATCATTACAGGATAGAATATACGTCCCTACATGAATCTTCACCGTCCCCAGGGAGTATTCGGCTAGATGTGATAACCAGATTTACAGGTGGTAGAACATCAAGATGACACTATTATTAACATCAGCGAACTCATAATGTTGGATGCGAGGGCCAAGGATGAAACACCGCTCCACAAGTTCTGTACCCAAAGAATTATTGCCTATGTAAATGCGTCCCGAGTTCTTTTTGCGTTATGAATCTACTCACTAAGCGTAGTAAGACCATCTTCACTCCATCCCTGCTCTTTTGCAAGTTTTTTCTTACAATAAAATATACTTTTGCACTAACTGGTGTTATGTTACACTCGCACAACACCACCTTCCCCAAGACTCCATCGAGGTTTGACATTCCGTAAGTCAGCGGTATACATTTGCCGCGGTTCACCAGGTTTCGGAGCGCGAAGAATTGTCCAAAACGTCCGTAACGTCGTCTATTGGTATGTCAGCTCTGGAATAGTCGGATCCCCTAATACTTTCCCAGATGGCGGACTCCGCCGCTTCTGCGGCGGCGCAACCCGAAAGCATCAGCGCTGCCGGCGGCGGCGGCGGCGGCGGCGGCGGGTGTGCGCGGCCGGAGAAGCCGAACACGACTGTAGGGAAGATCCGGGAGCACGTGAACGAGTTTTTGAGCGCGTCGATGGATGAACACAAGGAATGATTCAAGAACACGCTGGGGAAGGTGGGCAAGAAGGGGGGGAGGGGGAGTACGCTGGGGAAGGTAGGCACAGGGGGAGGTAACCAGTAAACTTGATTCCGTATACTTTCAGACTGACAGGGATTTATGACTTCTTAATGAGTCATGTTTGAGGTGAGGTGAAGTGAGGTGAGGTGAGGTTGGGTGAGGTGAGGTGAGGTGCGGTGAGGAGCCACATCGGGTAGGGTGTCCCCAGCTTTGAGACGTCTCAGAGGGTCTGCACTCCGCACAAGGGTGTATCCGCTCTCAAAGTCCTTCTTTTAGGCGCCTCAAGAGCTACACGCAATAATCACCAACCCTTCCCTCCCACCTTCCTCTCTCACCTGATCTCCAGATGTTCGGTTTCAAGAAGAAGTCCCCAGCGCCGCCCCCTCGCAACGTCGTCATCCCATTGGTCGCACACACAGCAACGGTAGCGCCTCAGGGCCCCGTAACACCTCTAGACACTGAACCACGGTAAGGCATCCCTTACTTTCAAGTCACAGCGGTGGAATCACTTGAAGGTTAAAGAAGCAGCAGAAGCAGCAACATCTTCAGCAGCAGCAGAAGCAGAATCAGAAGCAGCAGTAGCAGCAGCAATGTCTGCTGTTTTCAGCGTCTGCTGTAGCAGGACTTGAAGCCCGCATGTGTCTCACCGTGCTAGTTAGAGGGTGGTCTGTACTGGGTGGTGCTGCAGAGGAGGAGAAGAGGGGGGCGAAGGAATGAGTAGCGGAGGGTGCATATGACGGCTGTGGCTTAAACCCCACATGGGGCAGCTGCAGCCTGAACAGTCACTCTCATGTTTCTTGCTCCCCGAACCTCCCTCCCTGGTCTTTTTGCATTCGTCTTGGAAAGCCCATGTTCGACAGGGTCTTAGTGTCAAACATGTCTATTTGTTATGTTTGTATAGACTGTATAGGGTAGCCTCTTAGAGGGTACAACACTTAGCTATATTGTGTGTACTCTCCCCCTATCACTATCATTCAATTTTCTAATATGGTATCACGCGTAGGTAGGATCCCCCCCCCACCTACCGCTTCCGCTCATGCCCCCTAGCGCCCCTCCTGGGCCCCGTCGCGCTCCTCCCAGGCCCCGTCGCGCTCCTCCCAGGCCCCGTAGCGCCCCGTCGCGCCCCTCCTGGGCCCCGTAGCGCCCCTCCTGGGCCTCGTCGCGCCCCTCCCAGGCCCCGTCGCGCTCCTCCCAGGCCCCCTAGCGCCCCTCCTGGGCCCCGTCGCGCTCCTCCCAGGCCTCGTCGCGCCCCTCCTGGGCTCCGTCGCGCCCCTCCTGGGCCCTGTAACGCCCTCCCAGGCCCCGTCGCGCTCCTCCCAGGCCCCATCGCGCTCCTCCCAGGCCCCGTCGCGCCCCTCCCAGGCCCTCTAGCGCCCCTCCTGGGCCCCGTCGCGCTCCTCCCAGGCCCCGTAGCGCCCCGTCGCGCCCCTCCTGGGCCCCGTAGCGCCCCCTCCTGGGCCTCGTCGCGCCCCTCCTGGGCTTCGTAGCGCCCCTCCTGGACCCTGTACCGCCCTCCCAGGCCCCGTCGCGCCCCTCCCAGGCCCCGTCGCGCTCCTCCCAGGCCCCCTAGCGCCCCTCCTGGGCCCCGTCGCGCTCCTCCCAGGCCTCGTTGCGCCCCTCCTGGGCCCCGTAGCGCCCCTCCTGGGCCCCGTCGCGCCCTCCTTGGGCCCTGTAGCGCCCCTCCTGGGCCCCGTCGCGCCCCTCCCAGGCCCCGTCGCGCCCCTCCCAGGCCCCGTAGCGCCCCTCCTGGGCCTCGTTGCGCCTCTCCTGGGCCCCCCGTCGTGCCCCTCCTGGGCCCCGTAGCGCCCCTCCTGGGCCGCGTCGTACCCGTCGCCGCCGCCCGGCCCCGTCGTGCCCGCCCGGCGCCGTCGCCGCCGCCCGGCCCCGTCGCGCCCGCCCGGCGCCGTCGCTGCCGCCCGGCCCCGTCGCGCCCGCCCGGCGCCGTCGCACCCTGCCCGGCCCGTCGCGCTCGCCCGGCCCCGTCGCAGCCGCCCGGCTCCGTCGCACCCGCCCGGCCCCGTCGCACCCTGCCCGGCCTCGTCACAGCCGCCCGGCCCCGTCGCACCAGCCCGGCCGCCGTCCCGCTCGCCCGGCCCCGTCGCACCGGGCCGGCCCTGCCGCGCTCGCCCGGCCCCGTCGCCCCAGCCCGGCCCCGTCGCGCCCGCTCGGCCCCGTCGCCCTGTCCCGGCCCTGTCGCATCAGCCCGGCCCCGTCGCGCCCACCCGGCCCCGTCGGGCCAGCCCCGGCCCCGTCCTCCTCACTGGTACGGTTCCCCCCCCCCCCCCCCCCCCACCCCGCCCTGCTCCGTGCCGCCCTGCACCGCACTGCACCGCACTGCACCGAACTGCACCGCACTGTACCGCACAGTACCGCACTGCACCGCACTGTATCGCACTGCACCGCACTGCACCGCCCTGCACAGCACTGGACTGTTCCTGATGGCGGCGGAGCTTCGCTTCGACGCTGAAGGTCAGCCCCTAGAGTTCGAGGCGTGGCTTGCCGACCTCCGCCGCCAACTCACTGGCCAGCGGCAGGATGGTGAACCGCTTTCCGCACACCTTGACGGTACGCTCCCCTGCCCAGACCCTCCTTCTATTCTGCCCGCTGACCCCACACCCACTGAGCGTGAGTCTACTGCTGCCACTGCCCGTGCGCGCTCTGTCTGGCTTTCTCGCGATGCTGTCGCCCAGCTTGCCATTAGCAACGCCCTCCCCCCGTCCGAGCGTCCTCGCTTTAGGTCCCTCACTACTGCTCAGGCATACTTAGATGCTGTCATCAAGCGCTATTCCACCCCTCCGGCTGCCTCGGTGGGTCGCCTGATCCTCCCGCTGCTCTTTCCTGACCTTGCTTTGTTCCCCACTGTCTCTGACCTCGCTGCCCACCTGCGCTCGATAGAGGAGACCTGGCGCGCCGCCTGCACTGACGCACAGCTTAGAGCCCACAGCCGCCCATTACCTCTACCCTCTACCTGCTTGCCACCCGCCTCCCTGACCGCCTTGCTGTCGCCCGCGACCGCTTCCTTAGTGTTCACCCCGCAGACCTCACCCTCACTGACTTTGTCGACACCCTGACTGTGATAGAGACCCGTCACCGCTCCATCGCCCAGGCGAGCGATGTCGTGCCGGTCCCTATCTTTCAGGGTTGTGCCCCTGCTCAGTGTACCTTCTCCGACGGCTCTGCCGCAGTGGCTGAGACTGCTGCTGCAGCGCAGGCCCGTTCGGGGAAGGGCCGCCGCCCCAAGGCTGGGCGCGGCGGAGGGGGCGGCGGGGGTGCGGGCGGGGGTAGTGGTGGGGTCGGGTCGCCTGGTGCTGGAGCGGACGAGGGGACCCTGCCCAGTCCAGCTGAGTCGCCGCCCCTGCAGTTGCAGCAGCCGCAGCAGCCGCCGCAGTCGCAGCCTTCGCAGCAGCCGCAGCAGCCGTCGCAGACGCGGCAGACGAGTGTTCTCCCGCCAGGGTGGCCCGGCGCTGGCGGTGGACGGGCGCGTGGTGGTGTGCCGCGAGGTGGCTCTTCCGGCGGGCGTTGTCAGTACCAGATCCAGACCGGTCCTCGCCGCGGTTTCGTTTGCGGTAAGATCGGTCACTCCACTCCCCGCTGCTTTCGTCGCCTGGACGACCTCTTTCGTCAGCGTTTCGGCCCGTCGCCAGACCTCCCGGACTGGCACAGTTTGCTTAGTCGTCAGGTTCAGATCTTTTATATGGACATGGATGCCATTGTTTCTGCTCTGCATGTGATGTATGCTGATGACTCTAGTGTGCTTCCGACTTATTACTCACTGTTGCCTAGTGTAGGTGTGCCTAGCTTAGCCCCCCCTGCTGCGTCAGGCGTAGGATCCCCTGCTTTGTGTAGTCTTGGTGCTTCTGCCGTCGTTCCGTCGCCAGACCCCTCGGCTTCGCTTTCCTTCACCTTGGACTCTGGCGCCTCTCGGTGTTTCTTCCGCGACTCCACCACCCTGACGCCGCTTCCTGTTCCTGCTGCCGTTTCTCTTGCTGACCCCTCCGGCGGTCCGGTAGTCGCCCGCAGTTCCACCACCCTTCCCTGTCCGGCGGTTCCTTCGGGCTCTCTTACAGGTCTGCATATCCCCTCGTTCTCCAAGAACCTAGTTGGTGTCGGCTGCCTCCAGGACCTTGGCGTCACCACTACGTTCCCTGGTCACGAGCGGTATGCTGTCTGTACCGAGGCCGCCACTGGTGCCCCCCTGTCCACGTTCCCCCGGGACCCGGTGTCCGGCCTGTTCACTCTGGACACCGTGCCCCCCCCGGCTGGAGCGGCCCCTCAGGTGGCTGTGTCTACCCAGGTTGCTGCTGCGTGCTCCTGTCGCTCCCTCACTCACCCGACCCTCCTGTGGCACCACCGCCTAGGTCACCCTGCGCTCCCGCGTCTGCGTCACATGTCCCAGCACGGTCTTGTCCTTGGTCTCCCAGGTTCACTCCCCGCGTTTCCCTCCTCCCCAGCTCCACCTTGCACGCCTTGTGTCGAGGGTCGGCTTCGCCGTGCCCCTCACTCCTCCTCGTTCCCCCCTACCGTCGCGCCGCTGCAGACCCTGCACCTGGACGTCTGGGGCCCCGCCCCCGTCCCTGGGCCGCGTCGCGAGCGCTACTTCCTTGTGCTTGTCGACGACTTCACTCGTTACACCACAGTCTTTCCCCTGGAGCGCAAGGCCGACGTGCCTGGCGCCCTCATCCCCTGGCTTGTCTCTGCGCGTGTCCACCGCGGTCTCCCTGTCTTGCGTCTTCACTCAGACCGTGGTGGCGAGTTTGCCTTAGGTGTCCTTGGTCGCTTTTGTCGTGCGGAGGGCATCACCCAGACGTTCACCCTACCGGACTCCCCACAGCAGAATGGGGTCGCTGAGCGACGCATCGGCTTGGTCATGGAGGTCGCTCGCACCTCCATGGTCCATGCCGGTGCACCCCATTTTCTGTGGCCGTTCGCTGTGCGCTACGCTTCTCACCAGCTTAACCTGTGGCCGCACCCTCAGCATCCGCAGGTTTCGCCGACCCGTCTGTGGACTGGGTCTCCTGGTGACGCGTCTGCGTTCCACGTCTGGGGCTGCCTTGCTCACGTCCGTGCCTCCGGCACGGACAAGCTCACTGCCCGCACCCTTCCCTGCGTCTTCCTCGGTTTTCCCCTTGACGCGTCCGACTGGCACTTTTACCACCCGCCGTCTCACCGCTTCTTTCACTCTCGTGACGTCACCTTTGACGAGTCCGTCTCCTACTACCGCCGCTTCCCCCACCGTGGTCCCCCGGTTACCCCCCCCCTGTTCCTGGTCACCCCTTCCCCGGTAGTCCCTGCCCCTCCTCCTCCTCCTCCCCGTCCCGCCCCCTCTGGTGTCTCCCATGTCACCCCCCTTCCGTCCGTGGACCCGGTTGAGGAGTCTTCTGACTCTGGTGGCCCTCCGGTGCAGTCCTCGCCGGCCGCCCCTCCCCAGGTGTCCCCTCCCCAGTCCCCTCCTCCGCCGTCCCTGCCGCCACTGCAGCCGTCGCCGTCGCCGCCGCCGCCGCAGTCGCAGCCCCCGTTCGCTGACTCTGGGGGTGCTCGTCCCGGTTGCCCTGAGGGTGGTCCCTCTGGGGGTGCGGGTGTGGAGCGTGCCGGTGGTAGCCGAGGAGCAGCTTGCGGTCCAGGTGTCGCCGTTGTGCCGCCGCAGCAGCAGTCCCCGCCGGTGTCCGCCCTTCGCCTGCTCGGCCTTCCGTCCCCCGACCCTGCGTCGGTTCCTCCACGACCGTCTCCTCCTCTTCCCGTCTACGGCCCTGTTTTCCCTCCGCCGGACTCGTCCCCGGCCCGTCTCCCCCCTCGTTCACCTCCTGTGTCCCCTCCCCTGTCTCCTGACCCGACTCCTCCATCGCACGTCTGGTCTCACCGTCCCTCCCGTGCTCGTCCTGCCTCGCCTGTCCTGCGCTCCCATCCTATGTTGCTTCGTTCACACGCGTCTCGTCCTCCCCTTCTGCCGTCGCCTCCTCCGTCCTCCCTTGTTGTTGCGCCCCCCCCCGCTGTCCGACTACCTTCGTGCCGCTCGTCCCCTCGTTCCTCGGGTCCTTGCCTCTCTCGTTACCGACCCGTCTGTTCCAGTCTCGTGCCTTGACGCTCTTGTCGCTGCTGTCGCTGACTTCGCCTCTACCCGGCGCCTTGACTACGCCACCGCTCTGGTCTCTGACCCTGCCTGTCCTCCGTCTGTCGGGGGTGCTCCTGCCCTTGGCAGTGACGTCCTGGAGGACCGCCAGTTCGAGCTTGCTTTCCTCTCCGAGGCTGCTCCCCATCTCTGTTCCATGCTGCTAGTCCCTGAGGGTGACCCAGACGCTTTTGACATCCCGACCCCTCGCACTTACGCTGAGGCGACTTCGGGACCCTGGGCCTCGCAGTGGATAGCTGCCATGGAGCAGGAGATGGCATCTTGGAGATCCACCGGCACCTTCGTCGACGCAGTTCCCCCACCTGGGGTGAACGTAGTCGATGGCCGCTGGCTCTTCAAGGTGAAGCGCCCTCCTGGAGAGCCGCCTGTCTTCAAGGCGCGCTATGTGGCTAGAGGCTTCAGTCAGCGCGAGGGGGTGGACTTCTTCCAGACTTTCGCTCCGACCCCGAAGATGACTACTCTTCGGGTTCTGTTACACCTAGCTGCTCAGCGTGACTACGAGCTTCACTCTCTCGACTTCTCCACTGCCTTCCTTCAGGGCAGCCTACACGAGCAGGTCTACCTGCGCCGCCCTCCGGGCTTTACTGGCACCTTCCCTCTTGGGACCCAGTGGCTCCTGCGGCGTCCCGTCTACGGCCTGCGCCAGGCTCCCCGTGAGTGGCACGACACTCTTCGTGCTACGCTTGCTGACCTGCAGTTCTTTCCGTCTTCTGCAGACCCTTCACTCTTCGTTCGTGCTGGCCAGACTCCGTTCTACATCCTCGTCTACGTCGACGACCTGGTCTTTGCCACAGCAGACAGGGACGCGCTGGCCTCCGTGAAGGCAGAGCTGCTGAAGAGACACACCTGCACTGACCTTGGAGAACTGCGCCGTTACCTTGGCTTGCAGATCTCCAGGGACAGAGCTGCGCGCACCATCACCCTGACTCAGTCACACTTGGTGCGCCAGGTCCTTCAGAGGTTCAGCCTTCAGTTCTCCTCTGCACAGCCCACCCCTCTGCCTGTAGACCACAGGCTCTCCGCTCCAGTGCCTGAGGAGTTGGTAGAGCCGAGCGGCCCCTACGCAGAGCTGGTGGGTTGCCTCATGTACCTGATGACTTGCACTCGCCCAGATCTCGCATACCCTCTCAGCATCCTGGCTCGCTTTGTGGCCACAGGCAGACACCGACCGCAGCACTGGTCTGCCGCTAAGAGGGTTCTGCGTTATCTTGCTAGTACATCGGGCATGGGGTTAGTGCTAGGAGGACGCAGGCCAGCGGTCCTTACTGGGCACACAGATGCTTCGTGGGCAGACGACGCTGAGACACTCCGGTCTACCCAGGGCTACTGCTTCAGCCTTGGCTCAGGTGCCGTCTCGTGGAGAGCTACTCGCTCCTCGTCTGTTGCACAGTCCAGCTGTGAGGCTGAGATCTACGCCGGTGCCATGGCGGCACAGGAGCTCCGCTGGCTGACCTTCTTGCTCACTGACTTAGGTGAGCGACCTAGCTCTGCCCCGGTCCTGTTCGCTGACAACAGGGCCATGATCCTCCTGTGTCAGGAGCCTCGACTCGAGGGCAGAGCGAAGCACATTCAGCTGCGGTACTTCCTCCTGCGTGAGCTACAGCAGCGACGTCAGGCTCGCGTAGTACACTTGGCCTCAGGTGCCAACACGGCTGATATCTTTACGAAGGCGCTTGCGCCTAAAGATCATCAGCGGCACTGTGTACAGCTTGGTCTAGTTCATGTAGCCTCTCACTTGCTAGGACCTTGACTTTGTACTGTCCTTTATATGTATACTCAGACTGGACTTGTGTCCTCTCCCAGTGGCTGGACTAGTAGTGCCGCCCTGCTCTTTGCTTGCCTTGTCTGTACTCCTTCTGACTGGTCGCTCAGACCCTTGTCTCAGAGGTTGGACTAGTAGTGCCGCCCTGAGCTGTTTGTTTAGGACTTTCCCCTATGCAGTCTAGGGGGTGTGTCAAACATGTCTATTTGTTATGTTTGTATAGACTGTATAGGGTAGCCTCTTAGAGGGTACAACACTTAGCTATATTGTGTGTACTCTCCCCCTATCACTATCATTCAATTTTCTAATACTTAGTTGTACACTCTTTTTTGGCAATAAGCATTTGATTTGCCCATCCAAAGGACATCCCTGAAAACCCTCTAGCTCGCCTCGCATTGTGTCATACCGGTAAGTGCTCTGAGCAGCACTGCACATCGAGCAACTGTCAATCCACAATCTTGTTTGCTACTGGTAGTACGGCACTGTAGTTCAAAGCTGCAAGGAGGTGAGTGGAGCAGGGGGGTAAAACCATGTAGGTACCACCTGCGCTTTGCTCCTAAATTTCCGCTCGCCAAACCAGACCAGATCCGTCAATAATTGGGCAAGACTTGAAGGCCTCAAGCCATCTTACAGGATACAAAAAGTCTTCCCTGCCTGTCTTTGAGAGCTTCGCTTCCCTGGCTTGAATTGGACGGGTGTTATCAGGCTTTTTACGCTGATTTTGCTTGTTTCAGGGTGTTTCCTGAGATCGACACTGATCAATCAGCGTGGCCTAAAACGAATCTGAGGGCCTGGTCATGACTCATCATGAGCCATCCAGTTACTGACTGTTCTGTGTTCACCTATACACAGTGCTCTCACAATATTCTCATCTCATAGTATTCACACAGTATTTGGGTAGCTTACTAATTCAAATCTGCACACAGGTGGGCAAGGTTAGGCGGTCTCAGGTTATCCTCCAGGCTGCAGAAAGTGCGCCGCCACAGCTTCACAGCCTTGGTGCAGTCTGTCATGCGCCATCCAGTCACTGATGTCGCTCCACGGCATGGCCCTCATTGCAGTGGCGGATATAGTCCGCTATCCCTAGATGAGATCCGCACACAAATGAGCCAGACTCGAAGGTCTCAGGCTATCCTCCAGGCTGCAGAAGGTCCGTCTCCATAGCTTCACAGCCTTGGTGCGGTCATGCGCCATCCAGTCGCTGATGTCGCTCCATGGAGTGGCTCTCGAGTCAAACATAACGATGCGCCACGGCACAAAGAACTTCATGAGGCCCTCTTTAAACCACATGTCCACCGCAAACGACGGCGGCAGCCGGTGCGCCGGCGCCCACGCAAACCACTCGTAGTAGTACGCGTTGAGAAACCGGTCGACCGAGCCCTCAGGGTACGGCAGCACGGCTAGTTTCGCGACCATGTCGTCAAAGGTGGTGGTGTTGGGTTGAAGGACCATCACCCGGGATGTGAACATGTCTGGCGGAAACACGCTCGGCGGGGCGGCAAACGCGTCGTAGCTGGTAACCAGCTCATTGCAGTTGTCGACGAAAAGCGCCACCGGGTCAACATACACGAGCTTGTCAAACCCCTTCTGGTTCCACGCGTTGAGCACCGCAAACGCGTCGTCCAGCTGCCGCCCGTTCACCACTATCGGCTCGACCACCCGCACGTAGTTAAACAGCTTCCGGTAGGGCTGCCAGTGGTCGCGGGGCACGGTGGAGAGCACAAGGAGGAGAGTTTTCCGGAAAGAGGAGAACGCGTGGTGCTGCAGGTAGGATGCCGCCCAGACCCCCGCTGCGAAGTAGTTATCTTTGGTGATCAGAGTCACAAAGCCCTCGCGGCCGATGTAAGTGGGGCGGCTGGGGATGACCGGCTGGTGGGAAACAGGGGAGAGCAGCACCGGGGTGGTGGTGGGGAAGGCAACAGCTGCGGATTGTGTTGCTGCTGCTGCTGCTCCGGCTGCGGCGGCTGCTTCGGCTGCTGCGGCTGACGCGGACCGGGCCTTGGCGTGGGCGGGGACGAGAGCTTCGTACTGTGCTCGGTTGGGGAGGAAGTGAGTGAGTGAGATAGACGTGGGGTCCAAGGGGTACCAGTCGTTTTCCTCCAAGGCGTGCGCCACGTACAGCCAGAGCGAGCACCACAGATTCACCTTCACCTGCGGCCCTTCCTCCAGCCCTCCTGCGCCTCCTGCTCCCCCTTCAACTATCCCTCCTGCCCCCCCAGCGCCTGCTCCTGCTGTCCCGTTCCCGTTCCCCCCTGCTGCCACTGCCTGCAGCGTCGCTGCTGCAGCAGCCTCCACTGCTTCCTTGCTCACCCCACTCTGAGAGGAAGTAAGAGACGAAGACAGCGTCGAAGACAACGCCGAAGACAAACTCCCTCCTCCCCCTCCTCTCCCTCCTCCCCCCTCCCCATGAATTCCCACCACTCCCCCCTCGTGGCTGCCCAGGCGCCACGGTTTGAACCAGGGATTGGCAAAGTGGACCATCATGATTGGCCCGTTGAGCGCCTCATGGGCGGCCTCCACGCGGAACCAGGGCGGCGGGTGGTAGTGGTCCGGGAAGAAGATGACGGCGTTGTAGCGGGCGGCGAGGCGGTGCGCGGGCGGCATGTGGAACCACCCGGAGAAATAAGCGTTCAAGAAGCCCTGGTCGCCCTTGTTGTACGAGGGAAGCCGGTGCATCTTGCTCATCATATCGCTGTAGGTTGACTGGTGGGGGGGTGGGGGGAGGGGGAGGGGGAAAGGAGTTGGAAAGAGGTGTGAGAAATAGGCATTGAGGAAGCACAGATCGCCCTTGTTGTAGGAAGGGAGGCGGTGCATCCTGCTCATCATATCGCTGTAGGTGGAATGGATGGGGGAGGGGGGAGAGAAGCGGGGGAGGGGGGGAGAAGCGGGGGAGGGGGGAGAGAAGCGGGGGAGGGGGGAGAGAAGCGGGGGAGGGGGGGAGAAGCGGGGGAGGGGGAGAGAAGCGGGGGAGGGGGGAGAGAAGCGGGGGAGGGGGGAGAGAAGCGGGGGAGGGGGGGGAGAAGCGGGGGAGGGGGGAGAGAAGCGGGGGAGGGGGGAGAGAAGCGATTGAGGAGGGAAAGAAGGGAAAGAAGCCTTGATCGCCCCTGTTGTAGGACGGCACGCGGTGCATCCTGCTCATCATGTCACTGTAGGTGGACTGAGTGAGAAACGGGGGAAGTGGAGGAGGGGGGTACGGAAGGGGAGGAGGGTGGTACGGAAGGGGAGGAGCACAAGGGGCAGCAAATTGCATCCTGGAGGAATGACAAAACCTACTGTCACGTGACATAATGAACATGCCCTTATATATAGTGCAAAATGCCTCTTTTAGGAAGGGCTCCAAAAGAAGAGTAGACCTCGTTGCACATGCACATATCCGGCACGGCGGTGGGTCACAGTCACTCAAGCAGCAGTGGGCGATATTTGAGAATTCTCAAAACACGGTGGGTCGCATCAGGAATGCTGAGGAGTCTATTTTTGAGGCGCTCAAAAACAGAGGAGGGGAAGGGGGGCGGGAGGAGTCTATCTTTGAGGCGCCTCAAAAACAGACTCCTCTCACATGAGGAATGCTGCTGCCCTTCGAACAGCTCCACACCTGGCTTGCCATGAGTGACCGTTGCTCTCATGAGATGGTTTGAGTATGACCCAGTCCGCTCTTGAACTTGCTGCTCATGTACACATCGGGCACGGCAGTGGGCTGTGCTGTGCACAGTGTGCATACGTGACATGGATTGAAGCTTACATGGGACGGCTTCAAAACGAGCAGTCCGCTGTTGAACTTGCTGCTCATGTACACATCGGGCACTGCTGTCGGCTCAGGGCGGTCAAAGAGGTGGTCCAGATTGGCCAGCACGAGCGTGTCGACATCGATGTACACCACCTTGTCGTACTCTGTCATCAGCCACGCGTTCAGCTTCGAGAAGCCCTTGACTCCGTAGCTGGAGACGAGGTGAATAAAATGGGGGGGGCGGGGGGGGGTGGAAGGAGGGGCGCGGGTGTGTGCTGAGAGCACGAGCGTGTCGACATCGATGTACACCACCTTATCGTACTCCATCATCAGCCATGCGTTCAACTTCAAGAAACCCTTGACACCATAGCTGGGGAAGGGGGAAGGGGGGGGGAGAGGGAGGGGGAGGTGCGGAAGGTTGCACGTTGAGAGCACGAGCGTGTTGACGTCGATGTACACCACCTTGTCGCACTCCATCATCAGCCACACGTTCAGCTTGGAGAATCCGCTGTATCTGGCAGGAGGGGAGGGGGGGGGGAGGAGGGAGAAGTCCTGCATGTCAAGAGCACCTCATCGTTGTATTCTGAGAATTTTTAAAAACTCTGACATCAGCCACGCATTGAGCTTGGAGAAACCATTGACTAGGGCAACCATGCATATCTGATGGGCAAGTAAGGAAGAACATGAGGTGCACTTTGTCCACTGTGCATCTTGTGCATTTCGTGCATCCTCATCCACCAGCAGCACCAGCAGCACCAGCAGCACCAGCAGCACCCTTTACTCGCCCAAGAAAATAGCCACCAACACGCACAGGTACTCAACACACCAAGCCATGCGCCTACCTCGGTTGCCCAAGGAAAGAAACAGTCAATCCCACACACTTCAGTACTCACGGATGGGCAACCGTCGGCACACGCGGAACATGGTCAAAGTGAAGATGACTTTTGAGTCGACTCAAAAGTCACGCGCGGAGCATGGTCAAAGTGAACAAGGAGCAGCCTATCCCTGAGATTCACATCATGCCGCATGCTGTGAATCATGGGCGTTCTCGTCCACCATGAGCACCACGTCATGCGCCATGCCCGTCAGCCGCAGCGACTGCGCGTGCATTGTCCTGGACCCGCCCGCCTACCAGACCCAGCCAGTCAACCCTAACCTCCCAACCAAGTACTCACGGGTTGGTAACAGTGGGCACGCGCCGCACGTGGTCGAAATGCAGCAGCAAGAGACGGTCTTTCAGATTCACATCATGGGCGTTCTCGTCCACCATGAGCACCAGGTCGTGCGCCGTGCCCGTCAGCCGCAACGACTGTGCGTGCGCCAGCGCGGCCGGTAACAGGTCAGCCGAGGCGACAAGAGTGGCGTAGGCGTAGCGCTGCTCCACCACCACGCGGTGCAGCCCGGCTGCCCTCGCTGCCTGCATGCGTGTGCGAGCGCGGTCGTCGCAGTGAATCATGTACCCGAACTTGTCGCAGAACACCTGAGCGGGGTGGCGCAGGGGGGACCATGGGTGGCGCAAGCGGGGGAGAGGAGTTGCTTCAACACTCAAGCTGCCTGCATACGCGTGAGGAACACAGTCCATTTTTTAGTCGCCTCAAAAGCGTGAGTCGTCAATTTTTGAGGCGCCTCAAAAGCGTGAGGAGTCTAATTTTGAGGCGCCTCAAAAATATACTTCTCCTGCATGCGCGTGAGGAACACGGTCCATCATGTACACGTTTTCGAGTCGACTCAAAAATAGACTCATTGAACATGGTCCATCACGCACACACCTGCAAGCTACCTGGCTGTATCCCAACTCCAAAGGTTCCTTTTTAAGACCGCCTCAAAATGGGATATTTCAGCGTAACTCATCCTCTCGCCATCTCCTTCACATCAGGTGTGGCTTTCAAGTACCTGTATCTCAACTCCACGAATCCCGGTGTACGGCACATTGGAACGAGACACCATACACGCGCCCCCTCAGTCATCCTCTCACCATCTCCTTCACATCGGGCGTGGCCTTCGAGTAGCTGTATCGTAGCTCCATGGCGCCCCACAGCCGCTGAAACGCGCCGATGCACCCTCCTCTGTCCTTCTTATGCCCGGCGCGCGCGCTCAGCCCCACGTCGCTCAACTCCTTCTCCGAGTTCCGCGTGTCGCCCCAATCGCGCGGCTTGCCGTCCACCAATAGCGGCCCGACTTTCGCCCTTTGCGAAACGACGAAGTTCATCGCGATGTCTTCGCAGTTCTTCCCCGAATCCACGTACTCCTTGACCCCCTCCGGCGTGTGACACGTGTACCGAAACAGGTAATCCGCATGCAGGATAAAAAGCTTCGTTAAAACTATGGAGTACCGGTCTTCGCGCTTAGTATACACCCAGCCCTTTTCCTCTAAGCTATACACGTGCGCGCGCGGGAAGAATCCGACGAGCCGCTGCTCGTTTTCCCCCCAAACCCGGAGCGCGAACTCTAACGTCTTATCGTCTATCGTGATATCGTCGTCGCATATAATCACGGCTCGCGTGCGGATGAACTTTCGCGGAAGGAACCGGTCGTTCAGGCTGTCAGAAAGCTGCCTGACTATGTGGATCTTAGACTCCGGGCCGCCCACGCGGATCCCCCCACCCAATCCGCGATTCCCGCCGGGAATCCCGTCCGCTTTTTCCCGCGTCGCGATCTCTTCTGCTTGTGCAATCGCCCCCGCCGCCGCCGCTGCCGCTCCTTCCCCGCTCGACCCGTCGTCCCACCATCCCAAGTCGCCCTCGACCACCGAGAACGGCGACGAGACGTTTCCCCATAGCACATAAATCGCGTCCACTAACGGGCTCTCCGCGTATATCTGCAGCGTCTCCTGTAGCAGCGGTATCCGCGCTTCGGCGTAGCCGTTAATTAAGATGGTAACCGAGTCGGCTTGTAACGCCTGTGTCGGCGGGTACCGTTTCCTGTTGCAAATCTCCGGCCCGAATTTCTTAACTACGTGCGGGTCCACGGGCTCGCCGGGATCTAAGATCCGGAAACCGCCGGTTATTGTACCGGGTAACGGGGCGGCTGGAGCGGGTACGGGAATGTTTTTCGGGCAGTTGCAGTGGGGAGAAACGAGGCGCCAGATGAGGAGAAAGCCGCAGAGGCCGGTGATGGACCAAACCGCGCACGTGGAGAGCTTAAGGTCTGCGAAGCGCTTCGACTTGCCATAACGCGTATCGAGAGTGAAGGATCCCGCCGATGACGATCGACTGATCATTCTAATGGCGGATCAATTGAAATTGGGTGGAGTTGCGGTTTGCAGCTTAGGCAAAGACGGGGATCGCTATGGCGGTGTGCAGCTTGCGAAGACTGGGATCCTCTATGGAAAGCCAAGACTTCAATAAACGGTGAACGCAGAAGCGCGCCTGAGACTCGGCGGAAAAGTTGTGAACTGAGAGATAATAACTCATTGATTATGGCTCTGGCGACACAGTGGAGCAGCAGAAGGCGAGAAATGGTCCCGCCTCGTAGGGTAGCATGGTTCTTGATGCTGTAAATACTGCTTCAATATGTGATGTTTAGTGGAGAGGTAAGGCAGCCTCCTAAATGTTCGGTAGGTGAGCGAGTGGCTCGTGACTCGTGATTTGTGAAGGTCACGCTGATGCTGGTGATGGAGCTGGGGGAAGTGGCGGTGGATGACAAAATGGCAGTCCTCTTCCGGGTTCAGATGAGTAATGCGGATCAGGTTTCTTCTTGGTTTCAGTATCATGTCAAGTTGAGGCTGCCTAGGTTACTGTATGATGTGCACTGACACGATGTTTCCTCTTACCGGGGGTCGGAGAAGGCATCCTTTCATATTTTCCTGGAGTCTGCATCCAATTTGAGATAGGCCCTTGTCTCCTCTATGGAGTGCTTCAAGGAAACTAGAGTAATCAAAATCTACTAGTGTGGACGTGCACAGTATTCAAACTTCACCGACAGTACTCCCGAGAACGTAAGGTAGTAGTAAATTTTTATTCAGAGTACTCTAAGTAATCGACAGGTGCATCTATCGAAGACAAATTCCAGAGACGTAGAAAATCTTCTGGACCAATCAGGATGGCATTCACAAGGATTGCTCCACCTTTTCTGTCAGTGGGCTCCACCTTCACAAGACCTTGTCGCGAAAAGTGCTCGCAACTTCTCCGTCAGTCGCCTTCTCTTTCTCGTGTGCCGTAACCTTCTCGTGACTTCGTGAATGTCGCCAACCCCTTTTCGCGAACCAGCCGCCATGGATGGAGTGTCAGCAGCCAACCTGGAGTCTCTCCAAATTCATTCACTTCCACATCAGCTCTTGCTTCCAGGATCTGGGCGTCCTTCCAGGTGAGAGAGAGAACGAAACTAGCTCAGAAAAACGATAGGGAAGGCTGGTGTTTCTAGATTGGCTCTCGATCGCCACGGTCGATTTCGACCTTTGGTTGCTAGCTTGATTCAGCAAGTAATTTCTTACACCGTATTCCGAAATGGATGTTTTGAGAGGAAATGCGGTGTCACAGCACATCTCAGTCATCAGCTCAACTTCTGCTCAAGCATCCGCCAAGCTTCCGCAATCAAAGTTGTCGATTTCGCACTCCAGCTCCCTTCACGGCTCGTCCTTTTTCGCCTTGCAACGAATCCCATTCGCCCAATCCACTCTTCTAGCCTCCTCGCACTTCGAACCAAGCAGCATAAAATCCACTCACTCCAGTGTAACCTGCTCCGCCTCTTCGCCTTCCTCTTCTACCTCCTCCTCCTCCCGCAAAACTCCTTCTGCTAAGACTCGTCGCCTTATATTGCTTCGCCACGCCAAGAGCTCCTGGGACGACCCGTCCTTAATCGACCACGATCGTCCTCTCAGCAGCCGCGGGAAGCACGGCGCTAAGAGCATTGCTAAGAAGCTCGCGCGGCTCGGCTGGACGCCGTCCTTAATCCTCTGCAGCGACGCCACGCGGACCCGCGAGACGCTCGACATCATGCGGGAAGCAGAGGACGGCTTCGCGGAAGCAGAGGCGAGGTTTCTCGGAAGCTTCTACTCCGTGGCAGCCATGGACGGCCAGACGGCGCGGCATCTGCACGAAACAGTCGTGCGATTGGCTCCGGAATTCGCGGACACGGTGATGTGCATGGGGCACAACCGCGGGTGGGAGGAGGCGGCTAGCGAGTTTGCCGGCGAGTGGGTGGAGTTAAAGACGGCCAACGCGGCGCTGCTGGAGTCGAAGCGGCCGCACGCGGATTGGGGGACGGCGTTCGGCGACGGGTGGGAACTGGTGAAGGTGCTCAAGCCGGATGAGAAATAGAAGCTGCGCAGGGGGGAGGACCAGACTTGTTAAGGCGCCTCAAAGGCTGGTGACGGTGCTGTAGCTGGATGAGAAATCAAAGCTGATAGTCTGAGCGGTCCGGGAAGGGCAAGAGGCGGGCCATGGGGCTGTTGATGGGAGTAGGATTCCTAGAAACACGGACGCCGGTGGTGAAAGTGGATAAGACTGGCGATGCTAGATGCGGTGCAGCTAAGGGACTGTTCAGAACAAAGTGCGGATGGGGGATTGGAGGGGGAAAGGCAAGGATAAGGCGATGGGAGGTTAGAGATGCGGCAGACTGAAAGAATCTCGTGTGTGACAGACAGGGATGCTGCTGCTGACATGCGTTGATGCAGGCACATGATTTTGACAATGATTTGTTGGTCATGATGGGTTGATATGGTCAGGACTCAGGAGAAACATCTGTGGTGGGCTACTAGGCTAGTCTAGAACTGCAGCACGCACAAGTTTTCCCCACGCAATGATTGCTCCCTCCTCCCCCCCCAACCCCCCAACCCACCAACCCCCCCCCCCTTTTTATTTGAACAGCTACAGTAAACTACCTAAATGTGTGCCATGATGTTGAACAAAAAGCCATAACTGCACTGTATCCCCTATCAACATAATGCAGTTCACTGCATCTAGGTGATGGAGAGATCGCCAACTATCTAGACAATTCCCATGCAATGCCACGCTGTTCCCTGATGGCTTAGGCTTCAACCATGGGCTCTCCTCCTGGTGAGCTGGCAGCTTCTAATTGGCTCTTGCCTGGCTTGCCTGAGGGTGCAACGGAGTTGAAAAGTAGGTCCTTCATCACCTGGCAACCACAGGGGGGGAGGCATAGGGTCAGGAAACAAGAGGAGGCAGGGCTCGGCTCGAACAGTGTGGCCTTGTGGGTGCGTCAGCATGACACCAGCATGACGTCAGCAGCCCTCACCTGTGACATGAGTCCGTGCAGCTGCTCCACTGTGATGCGAGTGCTGTCCCTCGTTGACCGGCTCAGAGGTGAGTCCTCCTGGAGGTGTGACAAGGCGTGGCAGGACAAGCAAGATCCACACACACGTTCACAAGGTGCCATCCGCGGCAGCACAAGGCAAGGCAGTGGCACCACCAGGTCAAAACCAGCATACGGTATTAGAGCGAGTTCCTACCAACCTCTTACCAGGCAATCCTCTTTCCACAATCGACCCTCGACTGATAGCATGTTTGAAGAACCATTTTTCCTGCTAATCTGTTTTAGAATCGCGTTCTTCAACATAATGAATCAGCTTGCGTCAAAATCGCACTGTACAGATTCGCGCAAGTCGGAAATCTTCGCGCCTGAAACGAAATTTGAAAAAACGCCTTGAATCGCGACAATCCCAACCTTGCGTCACACCATGCGGCACCGCACTAAACTGTTTCGCGTCAAAATTACACGACACTGTAGCGCGCGAGTCTGGGAAGAGGTTGGCTGGGAAGAGGCCGCAGGAACATGCTCTTAATTGCTCAACGGTAGCAAGAGTACTCCCCCACCCACAGCCGATCCCAACCAAGGGTAATAAGGATGAGGCAAATTTGTGAGATTTGGTATGCTGGTTTTTAGAAAAGAAATCAGCTAAAGGTGCAGGGTGAAGCAGAATCAATCCATACCCGAAATAACTGCCGACAAGCTGCATAAAACACGACAAGCCACATAAACACGTACTTCAGAGAATCGCCCGTGGCCCACTGTTCTCCACCCCTCTCGCTCACCTCCTTGCGCCTTTGCGAGGGTATCAGGAACCCTCCAACGCACCCCTAGAGCCGACATCCCATCCTCCCTCCCCCTTCCCACTCACCTCCTTGCGCCTCTGCGGGGGCATCAGGAACCCCCCTATGCGCCCTGAGTGCGCCAGCTGCCCCTCTGCCTGCTCCAGCTTCTCCGCTGGTGTGTGTGGGGGGGGAGTAGGGGGGGGGGGGGCAATGTGAGAGACGGGTTGGGGGGAGAGGGCAAATGCGGCATTCAGCAGCAAGCTGAAAGGAGGGCATTGAGGCGTAAACAGCCCCCCTATGCGCCCTGAAAGTGCCAGCTGCCCCTCTGCCTGCTCCCGCTTCTCCGCTGGGGGGGGGAGGGTTGGGGGAGGGTTGGGGGGGGGGGAGGGGGGAGTGAGAGAGGGGGAAGAGGGGAGACAGTCAACAGCTGGCGAAGGGAGCAGACATGGAGGCGTAAGTAGCCCCAGTGCGCCCTGAACGAGTCAGCTGCTCCTCTGCCTGCTTATGCTTCTCCAGCTTGACAGCAGGCGTGGGTGAGGAGTTGTTTTACATGCACTTCAGGCAGATCTCAGGCCAAATGTAGGCTCGCAATGTAGTTTGGTTGGTCACCTCCAACGGATGTATGCCCTGCAACATACCAATCTGAACAACATACCCTGAACTCAACCCATCCCTGCTTACCCAGGTCCGAGATTTAGCCAGCCACATTGCCCCTGTTGGCGAGGAGTTGCCAGTAGGAGAGCGCGTTGACCAAGTGAGTCAGCCCCATAGTGCTATACACACAAACATCGGCAGCATACCCAGGTCGGAGATCTGCCCCGCAACATAGTCCCGGTTGGCGAGGAGCTGCGAGGAGGAGAGAGTGTTGACCCAGTACTTGTTCCACAGCAGGTCCAGCAGGTGCGAGTCCAGGGATGATTTGAAGTACGTGATGTCTAGTGAGTAGTACTGTAAGGGGGATGGAGGATGGGGGATGGGGGATGGGGGATGGAGGATGGGGGATGGGGGAGGGCAGGTGGGAGGCTGAAGGAGTGAAAGGTGGAAAGATGCGTTGAGGGGCTTTCGAGGAGGAGAGAGTGTTGACCCAGTACTTGTTCCACAGCAGGTCCAGCAGGTGCGAGTCCAGCGACGACTTGAAGTACGTGATGTCTAGCGAGTAGTACTGTAATGGGGATGGGGGATAAGAGGTGGAAAATTGCATTGCGGAACGGGAAGGTTTAGGCAGGTCACAGGCTTTGAAGGAGAAGATAGGGAGGAGATACTCCTATCGCTATCCCCTCACACACCTGCATGCATGCGCTTCACAGTCAGAGGCCCTAACATCGTCAGCTTGCTTGCTTGCAGTTGGCCCACCTGCTTGCAGTGCGCTCACCAGCAACACCACCCTGACCCCCTGCTTGCCTGCTTGCAGTGCGCTCACCAGCAACACCACCCTGACCCCCTGCTTGCCTGCTTGCAGTGCGCTCACCAGCAACACCACCCTGACCTCCTGCTTGCCTGCTTGCAGTGCACGCCGAAGTCCTCGATCTTGTTCAGAGGAATGGTCTGGTACTCCGAAGCCGGCTCGTCTGGCGGCTTGTACCCCTTGGGGTATGTGCGGAAGGCGCCGATCTCAACCTTTAGAGGGGCGGAGAAAAGAGGGGAGGGAAGGGAAGGGAAGGGAAGGGAAGGGAAGGGAAGGGAAGGGAAGGGAAGGGAAGGGAAGGGAAGGGAAGGGAAGGGAAGGGAAGGGAAGGGACGGGACGGGACGGTGCTGGTAAAAGGTGCAGCATAGAGCTCAACAAAGGAGGCTTGTAGCCCTTGGGGTATGTGCAGGAGGCGCCGATCTCAACCTTGAAATTGGGAAGGAGGCACAGATACGGGGAGACAAGGGGAGACGAGGGAGTGGACACGGTGCGAGCGGGTAGATGATAGCGCCAGAGAAGATACTAGCCCCCACAGAGCTGTGTGAGACACACAAAGAGCTCGTTCTCACACATGTGCGTTGGTAATTTCGTTTCGAGACGTGTCGAAAAGAGACTAGCCCTTGACACCTGGTGAGTTCGTTCTCACACAGCTGAGCTTCCCCGACTCCCAACTCCTACTACTCTCCCATGCGCCCTCTGTTCCAATCTATTCCCATTGACCCTACGTTGCCAGCAGACAACTTCTTAACCGGCGGCCCCTAGAAAAGCCAACCCAACCTTGCCGGTGGACACGGTGCGAGTAGGATCAATCACGACAGCAAGGAAGGGCTCTTGGAACTCCTGGTTGAGCATCTGGGTGGTGATTAGAGTCTGCTCTCCCCTCCCCTCTGCTCTCCCCTCTCCCCTGCTCTCCCCTCTCCTCTGCTCTCCCCTCTCCTCTGCTCTCCCCTCTAACCCTACCTTGCCCGCGGACACGGTGCGAGTGGGGTCTATGACAACCGCGAGGAAGGGCTCTTGGAACTCCTGGTTGAGCATCTGAGTCGACACGTCAATGCCCGACAGCCAGCACCCGTACCCCGGGTGCGAATGGTACCACCCCACCACGTTTTCAAGTCGCCCCGCCTGCAGTGGGAGGAGCACATGGGGCGTGGGCAACGGGAAGGGGCGGGCAACGGGAAGGGGTGGGCAACGGGGCGAGGAAAGGCTCTTGGAACTCCTGGTCGAGCATCTGGGTCGACATGTCGATGCCCGACAGCCAGCATCCATACCCCGGGTGCGAGTGGTACCACCCAGCCACGTTCTCTAGCCGCCCCGCCTGTTGTGGAAGGGGGGGGAAGGAGTGCCGGCATTGGGAGGGATGGGGTGCCCATTGCCCAAAAGGCGGCAGAAACGGCTCCTGGAACTCCTGGTTGAGCGCGTGAGTCAAGACTCGAGACATCGATGCCTGACAGCCAGCAGCCGTATCCCGGGTGCGAGTGGTACCACCCTACCACTATTCCAGGCTCCAGCCACCCCGCCTGCAGGGTCAGAGAGGAGGCCAGAGCGGTGGGAGGGTCAGAGAGGAGGCCAGAGCGGTGGGAGGGTCAGAGAGGAGGCCAGAGCGGTGGGAGGGAAGGGTGGACCCGAAGCCATTCGAGAGCCTGAAGCTGCTTATCCTACTGCTCTCAATATGCCTTCTCCTGCTGCTTGAATGCTCTAGTTTCTACTACCAAGCAACTCGCAGCCTCTGTAGTATGGAAAGTACCGAACCATTGGCTTGAAAATTCCTTCGTACTGATTAATGAGGGGTAACCTGCAACTTACCCTCTTATTGGTCTGGGTGAACTCCACCATGTACTCGTACGCCTCCGCCTGAGCGTTGACCCGGGTCTCAGTGCCCTCCACAGGCAGCGCGAAGGCGTCCATGACGATGATGGTGCCGTCCACCACCTTGCCCTGCATGATGCCCATCACCTGCAGTACGAGGGGGTCTACTGGGTCTGCTTATAACGAATTCAATGTGTCCATGACTATGACGGTGCCATTGACCACCTTCCCTTGCATGATGCCCATCACCTGCAGTAGGAGGGGTTTGGTTCATTGGAGTTGCTCAAAACGGGTCTGCTAATAACAGGGTCAACGCGTCCGTGACAATGACGGTGCCATCAACGACATTCCCTTGGATGAGGCCCATCGCCTGAGATGGAAATGCACGGGGGGGCAGACAGAGGAGTCTTGCATGGCATGGCACGATGGGAATGAGTCGTCTGCCCCCCTCTGACATCATGCATGGCATGATGAGAATGATTAGAGAGTTCAGTGCGAGACGATTGTGGAGACCACCACCTTGCCCAGCCAGCACGATGCCCATCACCTGCGGTAAAATCGCACGGAGGTGCATACAGCAGAGCCTAGCATGACATGGTGAGTGTGACAGTCAATTCAACGCGTCAAAAGTAGATACCACTAAGACTGTAGCGTCTACTACATTTGAGGCGCCTCAAAATTAGATACCACTAAGATTGTGGCGTCTACTACCTTTGAGGCGCCTCAAAAATAGATAACACTAAGCTGTGGCGTCTACTATCTCTAAGGCGCCTCACCTACTACCGTGCCTGGCATGATGCCCATCGCCATCACCATCACCATCACCATCACCATCACCATCACCATCACCTGCCTGGGAGAGACTAGGGGAAATTATGGCACGACTTTGGCAGCGCAAGTGTGGAGAATTGGACGTTCTAACATTGTGCGGGCCCTTGGTCCACAGCTTCTGCGGAGGATTGTGTGTTCTCTCTCCTCCTGTTCTCGACAACTCTCAAAAACATTCTGCGGAGGACTATGAGTTCTCTCACTTGCTGTCCGTGTTGCATGCACCTCGATGGTGTCGCTGATCGCACGCCATTTTCAGCAGGGCAAGCGCGGAGAGTCGGAAGTTCTTGAAGGAGTGCGGGTCCTTGGGTGAGGAGTCTATTTTTGAGGCGCCTCAAAAATAGAGTCGGACATTGTTGAAGGAGAGCGGGTCCTTGGTCCCAGCTTCTAAAGTGGTGCGTGTTCTCTCGCCTCTACGGTGGGCCGAAATAACCAACGCGCACCTCGATTGTGTCGCCTGATCGCGCGTGCACGACCATCTTCAGAAGCGCTAGAGCGGAGATTCGGACGTTTTTGAAGTAGTGCGGGTCCTTGGTCCACGGCTTCTGCGACAGCACGTCGGCGTGGATGCGCTCGTCGTAGCGGTAGATCGCGTCCACGTCGCTCGCCGGCAACGGCTCGATTCGATTCTCCAGCTCCCATGTCTGCCGCGCTTGCAGCGAATCCATCGCGACGCGACCAGAGAGATCGACGGCGATAAAGGTATGAGAGGCGGGGTGCGGAGATGAATGGAAAGCACCCCGACAACCGGGCGTGAAGTATACTCTCGTGAGGGAACAACTGATCGAACTGAAGAACGGCCGTCACTAGCCAACTCTGACTGAAATTCCTTCACCGTTTCCACCACAGCAACCTATAGGCGCAGCGGAAGGGCGTAAGCTTGAAAAGAATCTGATCAGAGGAGTGTTTTAGCGGGAATCCATGCCAGGATGGTGTCGAAGTTGTACCATTTAGGATGTCAAAATGAACATCTTTTGAGCCTACAACAAACGGCAATTCAAACATTTTGAGCCCTTGGAAATGACGAGCATCTTTCGCCTCGTGTCAGAAGTGATCTCCACTGGAATATACATTTTGGAGCTGCGTGTAAATACGCCTCAGCCCTACCCTTGGGAATGGATGGGGGCTTGGAGATTCGTACGCGGTGAAACAGAGTCGGTACACTGTGTCAACACTACTGCAGTGCTTACAATAACAGTTACCTTTTCATTTAGCTTGTGACTCGCCACCACACGTCATGGCGCCCTTGCCTACACCATCCGACCTCTCGTAAACATTGCAGTTCATTCGCGTCTTGAAAGCTCCTCCTCACCCCAATGTACTGATTCGTTGTTGCTGAAATTCTCACCGTCCGTCAGTCTTTCGCCGACTACCTCTCATCGTCACTGGTTGGTAACCAACCGGTCTCAAATGTGTGTGCGCGCCGTAGAGCGAATTCCAGTCATCGTCGCTGAGAGGCTGTAGGCTGGCTGTAGGCTGTTGGTAGGCTGCAGGCTGTAGGCTCGTCGTCATACTGATTCGTTGTCGCGTGCGAGCGAATTCCAGTCATCGTCGCTTAGAGCGAATTCCAGCGAGCGTTCCAAACACCACTTGGGAATTATCGCTACTCGGTGGTATCCGCTTTCTTCCTCCGTCAGTGAACAGTCACTCCTCCCGAGCCTCGTTGAAGCTTCGTCTGGATTCGCTATAAAGCTCCTCATTTAACGACAGGCGAGACACCCGTCGTTATGGAGTCGTTTCTAGCAACACTCGGTCAGTCCAACACACCACTGATATGCCTCCTAGTACCCGTAGCTCCCGCTTTCTTTCCTGGCGTGTGTGACCGCCTAGCATGAGAGGCGGTGTCCCGGCGCCGTATCACTTGTCCCGATCTGAATCTCGCACCGTGACTCTTGAGTCGACTCAAAAAGCACATCCTATATCCTTTGCTGGATTTCCCCCTTCTCTGCCTCCGTGCGACTTCCTGTGTGGCTTGTACTCGCTAGTAGCGACACTTGCCGGATCTAATTGTACCAGTGCGACTTCCAGTGCGCCCATTCATCTCCGCATATAGTTGCCTAGTCGTGTGCGGTGCGGGCACTCGTTTCTCCTGTACTCCCAGTGCTCTTGTAGCTCGCTAACGCAGATTTTTCTTGTCTCGTGTATTAAATCCTTTTTTCCATTTGCAGGTCTGCTCACCACATGCCTCCTTCAGGCAGCCTACTGGTACTCCATTGCCTTGCTTCCCCATGCCTTCCCCATGCGTTCCCCATGCGTTCCCCATGCCCCCCCCATGCCTCCCCATGCCTTCCCCATGCCTTCCCCATGCCTCCCCCATGCCTCCCCCATGCCTCCCCATGCCTCCCCCATGCCTCCCCATGCCTCCCCATGCCTCCCCCATGCCTCCCCCTGCCTCTCCCATGCCTTCCCCATGCCTCCCCCATGCCTTCCCCATGCCTCCCCATGCCTCCCCCATGCCTTCCCCATGCCTCCCCATGCCTCCCCATGCCTCCCCCATGCCTCCGCCATGCCTCCCCCATGCCTCCCCCATCCCTCCCCCATGCCTCCCCATGCCTCCCCCATGCCTCCCCATGCCTTCCCCATGCCTTCCCCGTGCCTTCCCCATGCCTTCCCCATGCCTCCCCCATGCCTCCCCCACGCCTCCCCCATTCCTCCCCCATGCCTCCCCCATGCTTCCCCCATGCCTCCCCCATGCCTCCCCCATGCCTCACCCATGCCTCCCCCATGACTTCCCCATACCTCCCCATGCCTCCCCATGCCTCCCCATGCCTTGCCTCCCCCATGCCTCCCCCATGCCTCCCCCATGCCTCCCCCATTCCTCTCCCATGCCTCCCCATGCCTCCCCCATGCCTTCCCCATGCCTTCCCCATGCCTTCCCCGTGCCTCCCCCATGCCTTCCCCATGCCTCCCCATGCCTTCCCCATGCCTTCCCCGTGCCTCCCCCATGCCTTCCCCATGCCTCCTCCATGCCATTCCCCTGCGTTTCCATGCCTATTCCTGTCCGCACCATGCCTCGTCCTTGCTTCATCCTGCATTTCCTATCCATTTTTCACCCCACTTAGCGCACTTCTCATCATGCTCAGCCCACTTAGTGCACTTCTCATCATGCTTAGCCCATCCCTGTTATGTGTGTTCTCCCTAGCACGCGCACACTTTCCCTTGTCAACAGCAGATGACAAACTTCCTTGTTTAATACTGTTCAACACTTCACTCCCAACAAAGACCCCCTCTCACATGACAAACCTCCCAAACATGACATGTCCACATCTCCCATGCCAGCCAATCAGCCCCTCACATCCTGGTGCCTTGCATGCTCCCTCGCACCTTCCCAGGAACGCCTTCCGAGAAGCGTCCTCGCCGTATTCCCGGACCGCCATCTCCACCTACCCCTTCTCCTGCTCTCTCCTCTCCTCCCTCCTCTGGGCCGCCTACGCGCTCCCTATAGTCACACCCCACCGCATTCTCTTCCTCCTCGCCCACCTCATACAGTCATTCTCCCTCTCTGCGCTCCTCATTGCCCTCCTTGCGTCTGACTCCTCCAGTTACCGCCTGCGCCTGGTAAGCTGTACCGCCCGCCCGTGTCATGTTTCTGACTGTATCCTGCGTCTTATTCACGTATAGACTCCCCTTCTCCCGCTCCTCCTCTGTGCCCTGATTGCGTCTGACTCCTCTAGTTACCGCCTGCGCCTGGTAAGCTGTAAGGCCCGCGCGTATCATGTTTCAGATCCGCTCAGAGATCCCTCTCCCCCCTCCTCCCTCTCCGCCCTCCTCCTGTCTCTCGTCGCGTCTGATTGCACCCAGTTATTTGCTGCGCCCTGACTTTCATGTGCCAATGTTCATTTGATCTCCCAGCGCTCATGGCCCGCCTCTCACCTCTCAGCTTCAGGTGCTGCAGATCCTGCCGCCAGTGGCAGGCCTCTCCATTGTGGCGCTCGTCCTGGGATACTACTGCTCCACATCTTTCCCCCTTCTATTCGGTGTGCCTGCCTCAGCAGCAGCCGTGCTCCTGCTCGCCCCTCACCCCCTCCTGCGCATGGTGAGTCTAAAGGGCGTTCCGAGAATTCTCGAAGCCTCCCACAGAGATTTCTGAGAGTTGCTGCTGGCACTGCTGGCACTGCTGGCATTGCTGGCATTGCTGGCATTGCTGGCACTGCTGGCTATGCTCCTGCTGGCCTCTCACCCCCTCCTGCGCATGGTGAGTCCAAATGCGTTCCGAGAATGTCCGAGAATCTCTCACTCTGCTGTCCTTGAGTCACCTGTGCGCGGCAGCAGCCGTGCTCCTGCTCGCCTCTCAGCCCCTCCAGCGCGTGGTGGGTCCAAAGGCCGTTCCGCGAATTCTTAAAGCCTCCCAGAGATTTCCGAGAATTGTTGCTGGCTCAGCTGGCTCTGCTGGCTGTGCGCCTGCTCGCCCCTCACCCTCTCCTGCGCATGGTACGGCCGCAGGGCTTTAAACGATTTCTCAAGGATTTCTCACGTGGGGACCAAGTGCCATTGCTGGTGCTGCTGGCATAGCTGCCCATGTCCTCGAGTCGTCTCAGCTGCACTGTGCCTGCAACTAGACAATCTTTCATCTTCCATCCTTTCTTTCCCATTCACCCCCGCAGGTGAGGCTCTTTGACTCGGCCACATCAGCCCCAGCAGCACAGCTCTTCGTTAGCTTCTCTCTGCTCGCCTCTGCATTCGCGTGGGCTGGTTTTGGCTTCGCTGCTTCCGACTTTTTCATTGCTGTGAGCTCTTGCCGTGCCAGGCTGTCTGATTCTCGTGATACATCTCATCTCATCTCATCTCGCCTCGCCGCACCGCAATGCACCGCACCCCACCCCACCCCACCCTACCGCACCCCACCGCACCCCACCTTATCTCACCTCATCCCATCTCCCATGCATCAAGCAGCCATGCCTTGTCCACTGGTTCCAGCTCAGCACAACCGTTTGTGGAGGTAGTACTGCTGCTGCCTGCCACCACCAACACCGATGGCATCGAGTCTCTGTGCATCGAGTCTCTGTGCATCGAGTCTCTGTGCATCGAGTCTCTGTGCATCGAGTCTCTATGCATCGAGTCTCTGTGCATCGAGTCTCTGTGCATTGTCGCGGCACTTGCTTCTGACTCGCCTCAACAGCCATTGAGCACTTGCCGACTCAACCAGTGGACACTCGTCCTTAGGTTCCAGTGTGCCGCACCGTTTCGTTTTCTTTGAGGTGACTTTTGAGTCGACTCAAAAGTCACCAGTGTGCCGCACCGTTTCGTTTTCTTTGAGGTGACTTTTGAGTCGACTCAAAAGTCACCAGTGTGCCGCACCGCTTCGTTTTCTTTGACTCAACGTCGACTCAGCAGTTGCGAGTGTGAGGTTACTGGAAGCAAGCAAGTGAGGTTACTGGAAGCAAGCAAGTGAGGTTACTGGAAGCAAGCAAGTGAGGTTACTGGAAGCAAGCAAGTGAAGCAGCAGTTGCGAGTGTGAGGTTACTGGAAGCAAGCAAGTGAAGCAGCAGTTGCGAGTGTGAGGTTACTGGAAGCAAGCAAGTGAGGTTACTGGAAGCAAGCAAGTGAAGCAGCAGTTGCGAGTGTGAGGTTACTGGAAGCAAGCAAGTGAAGCAGCAGTTGCGAGTGTGAGGTTACTGGAAGCAAGCAAGTGAAGCAGCAGTTGTCCATTGGTTCCAGTGTGCCACGCCGCTTCACTTGCTTGCTTCCAGTAACCTCAGCTGCCACCGATTCCCACTCCTCTCAGTTCTCCCTCCTCTCACGTTTGCCTGCAGGTGCCGTATGTGGTGGTGGCAGCACTTGAGGCTCTCTTTCTCGCTCTTTCTTCGATCCTGGGGTAAAAAATTTCGCTTCTGTTCGAGTAGAACTTGGCATAAATCATCCCACGGTGTCACATGAAGCAACGCACGCACCAACGCACGCACCAACGCACCAACGCACGCACCAATGCACCAACGCACCAACGCACCACTGTACCCGTTGTCTCCAGCATATGTTTTTCCTGCCATCCGAGATAACTTTTCAAAATTTCTCAGCAGTTGTCTCCAGCATGTGTTTTTCCTTCCGTTCTCGCCTCCACCCTCCAACCCCCCCATCCCGCTCCAGCCTTTAATGCCCATCCCCCATCCCCCATCCCCCATCCCCCATCCCCCATCCCCCATCCCGCTCCAGCCTTTAATGCCCATCCCCCATCCCCCATCCCCCATTCCGCTCCAGCCTTTAATGCCCATCCCCCATCCCCCATCCCCCATCCCCCATTCCCCATCCCGCTCCAGCCTTTAATGCCCATCCCCCATCCCCCATCCCCCATCCCCCATCCCCCATCCCCCATCCCCCATCCCCCATCCCCCATCCCCCATCCCCCATGCCGCTCTCACAGCACCACCAGCAGCGCTGCGTTGCAACGGAGGGCAGCAGAGGGGTACGAGCTCGTCCCCCCCACAGCGTCAGAGTCAGGGTTGACGGAGCAATCGCTGTGAGTGCCACTGCCGTGCCTCTGCTGCTGCCATGCCTCGGCTGCTGCTGTGCCTGCTGCCATGCCTCTTGCTGCTTCCATGCGTCTGCTGCTGCCATGCCTCTTGCTGCCGTGCCCTGCTGCTGCCATGCCTCGGCTGCTGCCGTGCCTCTGCTGCTGCCATGCCTCTTGCTGCTTCCATGCCTCTGCTGCTGCCATGCCTCGGCTGCTGCCGTGCCTCTGCTGCTGCCATGCCTCTTGCTGCAGCGCCTCTGCTGCTGCCATGCCTCGGCTGCTGCCGTGCCCTGCTGCTGCCATGCCTCAGCTGCTGCAGCGCCTCTGTTGCTGCCATGCCTCAGCTGCTGCCATGCCTCAGCTGCTGCAGTGCCTCTGCTGCTGCCATGCCTCTAAATCTCCACCCTCCTATCCTCCCCTTTTCCTGCCTCCACCCCACCTTTCTGTTTCCATCTCATTTACACGTGTTTTGCCTCCCGTTTCTTCTGCGTCCACTTCCTCTGCCTCTCCTTTCGTCCACATATTTTTGTCAACATGCCTGCTTGACTGTTGCTGTCCTCTTGGCACACGTGCAGAGAGGACACACCTGATGAGTTTGACGAGTGGTTACAACTGGACGCCCTTCATGGCCGTAGACTGGCCTAGCACTACAATGCATGTAACCACTTGTACAGTATATGCATGCATATACTACTCGTCCATGCATTGTAGTGTATGGCCGCATTGTACTACTCGTTCATGGCCGTAGACTGGCCTAGCACTACAATGCATGTAATATATATATACTGTACAATGTGGTTACAATGTACGCATGTAAGAAAGAGCCGCATGCCTGCTCGTGTAACAAGCTGTTGCTTGCTATGCTGCCGGTATACCTCGCACGGTGCTCGCAGCAGAGAACCTTTTTAGCCGGCTGTCACTTGGGTTGCAAAATCAGTGTCTTTCTGAGATGTGCCGCTGTGTACACCCAACATCCCTCATCCTAGTATCTGACAAAAACGGTCGCTCAATCCTTCCATTCCGACTTGAGATGTGTTGGAAATATCTCAAAGGACTTGACAAACGTCACCGGATCTGAACACGTCAGCACTCCAGAAACGAAGGGGAGTGTTGGAAATATCTCAAAAGACTTGAGCGTTTCTGAAGTGTAACACTACACTCGAGGAAGATCGCAACGGGTACACGAGTCAACGGAGGTTACACGAGGGGGCGGACAAAGAACGCGAAGGGACTCGAAGGGTCGCAACTGGAGGTTGCGACTGACCGTTACAACAGCGCGGATGGTAGCCGAAGCGACAATCGAGTCGCTGTGCGACTCGATAACCGCTCCTACAACTGTATTCTACAACTGCTTTCTTATTTTCTATATATTGTTGTATGCTTGTTTCTCTAATCAATCACTTGTTCTCATATACTAGTACAAGGGTTCAACTACTCAACTTCCGCTGCACTACTCAAGTCTCATTCTTCAACTGGGACTTAGTCTCCGAAAAGATCCTAAGGGCATTTATCAGCCCAATATGGTATGAGAGCTGGTCAGAGACCAAACTCCCAGCAACTACGCTCTATCTACAATCTGCAATACAAACGACTTCATTGATTACAAGTCATGGACAGCAAGGGCAAGAAAATCTCTGCGGGCTCACCCAGCGCCCAAGACACTCAACCCGGCAACTCTGGATTGCACACTTCAGGACTGCAAACCGAGACCGGCGCTGCTCAAGAAACAACAGGAAGAGCACCGGAAATGGTGACCCCATCACCCTCTTCAAGCGTGGATCCGAACCTTATGGAAAGGTTCTTCAGCTTCATGTCGCACTTCGACCAGCAGCAGCAGACAAGGACACTGGCATATTCAACACAGAGCAACGGAGGAAACATGGGATTAGCGCCGATGAGCCTCGACAATTCATCCTTCGGGCGACACAATCAAGCGCCTACCTTTGCACCTTATCACTCTTCACTGGGGACGTTCGAGTTCATGCTGCCCCGTGCCCAACCAACAGCAGCTGCATCACAACAAACACCAAACGAGATTTTAAGTCTCCAGGCGCAGTTTTCACACGTGATTAAACTGCAGACATCATCACCATTCAACGGACACGATTTCTTTACCTGGAGTTTTGAGTTCGAGCTGCTGATGGAGGCTGCGCATCTCTTGGGATACTTCAATGGGTCCCTGCCATTCCCAAGCAACGGCACTGCAAAGGAGCAAGAAATATTTACTTATCAGTCGCTGCTGGCGTACACAGTTCTCCTCCGGAACCTGTCACCACAAGAACAGCAGAGCATCAGAACCTATCGGAGCTATGGAAACTCCGCGGAATTCGCATGGCATCATCTCAAGTGTCTCTATCAAGCAAACGACAGCGTGACACAAAGCAGACTCATGCAACAACTGACAACAATACAGATGAAGACAGGGGAAAAGGCGATACAGTATATGAGTCGCTGCCAGACCCTCCGCGACCGCCTGCTTCGGTGCGGAGGAACAATCACTGAGGAAAGCTTCGTGACGCTTGTCCTCGCCGGGCTCGGACCAGAATGGAGAACCACACGCTCGCTTCTTCGCGCCCACGAAAGAATCTCGGAGATGCACCTCTGCGCCGAGCTTCACGCTGAACAACAGGAGATGGACCTGTTCGAAGAACGATAACCAAGGAAGCAGCAGTAGCTAGTTTTCTACACTCAACGAAGGAACGACAACAACTACAATCGACGCGGCAAGCAAGATCAACGCGACAACAGAGGACTCACCTTCGTGCCGCCGTTCTGCCACAACTGTCAGACTTCTGGACATTCCAAAGTCAACTGCACACGTCCTCGTGTTTATCGTCCAGTAGACCCACACGTCGCCTCCACTCAAGAAAGCCCTCCAAGGCGCTCTTCCACATCTGCACAAGGGACACCGAACATCATTAACTGTATGGTACACATCGACAACTGCGCACCCGGATCACCACCCACTTCCGCACCAGACGAAGAAGAACTTCCGCCGCCGCGCTCACAAGGACTTGAGGTCAACTCGACATACGCTGCGGTCGCCAACGCCGAACCCACCGGGCGAAACACCTGGTTCTTGGACAGCTGCTGCGGTTAATACATGTGTTCTTCGGCCATCGCGCTCCTGACGACATCTGGCACCAACGACTCGGGCACCTTGCAAACAGTACAATACTGCAAACCATCCAAGCCGAAGTGTTAGAACGCAACGCCCTCCTAACAACGAGCGGCCAAGAACTTCGACGACCACGCGCACGGTGCTTTACGTGCCCCGAAGCCGATCTTCCCCACCAGTCTTTCCCATCTCATCACAACCCAAGCGCACCTGCATACGCACCGATGGAAAAAGTCTACAGCGACATTTTAAACATGCCTCTAGAAGACACTGAAGCCGACTTCAACTATGTCATCACGTTTATCGACGCAGCAACAAGATACGTCTGGCACTACAACCTCAAGACGCGCGATCAAGCCTTCGACGCCTTCACGACATGGCTACCCATCGCTGGACGAGAAAAAGGGACAAAGCTCAAGAGCTTCCAGTCAGACGGTGCACAAGAATATCAGTCACAACGCTTCAGGACCTATCTGGCGGAAAGAGGAATCAGGCGCCTGGTGTCTCTACCCTACGCTCACCAGCAGCAGGGTGTCGCAGAACGCATGAACCGGACCTTGCAGACGACGATGCGGAAGCTGCTCCTGGGGATGAGACTGCCCACCACACTGTGGCCAGACGCGATGACACATGCAGTCCACCTGCACAACCTGTTGTCCTCGTCATCACTTCCCAACAACGCATCACCGCACCTGCTATGGACACGAAAACGGGGCAGCACAAAATTACTTCGAGTTTTCGGCTGCATGGTACAGTACAGACCCCACACAACCAGAGCAGGACGTTTCACCCAACGAGCACGATAGGGGCTACACCTCGGCATCGCACAACATTTTCACGCATGGAAAATCCTCGACATAAAAGACAAAACTACAATGGCATCACGTGACGTTATCTTCTACGAGCGACTAACGCTGCAGCATTACCTGGACAACATTGCCAACACACATGACCCCACCGACGGCTTCGCGGGCCTTTGTTCCTTCGCCGACCGTGCTGCTGAGGCTGACGCAGCAGAAGAAGACGTACCTGGAGCCTCGGAAGCTGCCAGACCACTCCCTTTCTGCTCCGTACCTGTTCCACTCGACGAAGACAATCCTCTCGATAGCAACAACCTCGACACCTTTTACCACTTCGCTGACCAAGGTTACGTTACACCCCACCCGGTCGACACAAATGTTTCAGAACGCATCGGCCCAAATTTCTTACCTGGTCCAGAAGACGGTGACGAAGCAGCCTATTCCGGGAATGAAAATTCCCCTCGACACACACCAACGGGACTGCAGATACTCGGCCTATGGGTCTCCGTCCAGCATCCGCCGCCGCCATCTCCGCGCGAGCCCTCGACTCTGTCGCAGGCTCTGGGGGGGGAACTTAAGGCGAAATGGAAGGAGGCGATGGAAAAGGAGTTAAAGGCTCTACAAGACCGAAACACATGGAAGCTGGTACCTGCAACAAGCATCAACGGGAAGAACGTCCTCTCGGGAAAATGGGTGTACCGCATCAAGACCAATGCGGACAGTTCCACCGAACGATTCAAAGCTCGATGGGTCGTACGAGGGTTCGACCAACGATACGGAACCGACTACACAGAACATTCGCCCCAGTCTCCCGTCACACCTCATTACGCATCCTACTCGCCGTCGCGGCCACGAAGAAACTACCACTGCGCCAAATCAACGTCGCAAATGCCTTCCTGTACGCACCTGTGGACGCTGAGATCTTCGTCGAGCAACCCCACGAATTCATCGACGACCCCACGAAAGTATGCCAGCTAATAAGATCCCTATACGGGATCAAGCAAGCCCCGCGGCTCTGGCAGCAGCATCTTCACGGTCGCCTCGAAAAAATCGGATTCCTACAGCTGCCGCATGACCAAGGCATGTACCGACTGCAAAAGGGAAGAGAGTATATCCTACTCATCGTTTACGTCGACGACCTGCTCTACATCGGTTCCACTACCGACATCGCCACTTGGTTCGAAGGGGAGCTGAAAGAGGACTTGACACTCACGGTGTCCGACGCAGTGACCCAGTACCTGGGACTAAATGTCGTTAAAGACAACTCGGCGCTCTACCTACACGCTGGAAAGTACGCAGGCACTGTCGCGAAGAAATTCGGTCTAACGCCGACTACGGTCCCGACTCCCTACCGCTACGGGAACAACAATCACACCTCTGCAAAATTTCCCACGAAGCAAATCCAGGAGTATCAGCAGAAGCTCGGCTGCCTACTATTCGCAGCAGTAACCTGTCGACCCGATCTCTCTTATAGCGCGAGCCAACTGGCGACGCATCTGAAGCAGCCGGAACAAGAAGATCTCGAGGAAATTAATCGGGCACTACTCTACTTCGTCTCCACGCCGACGACCGGGCTCACCTACAGCAAAGTAACGACACCGTCCGTACGACTACTCGGATACGTCGACGCCGACCACGCGGGAGACAAGGAAAATCAACGATCGAGAACGGGCTACATCTACCGACTAGAACCTATCGGGACTATCTCCTGGCAGTCGAGCAAGCAGGAACTAATCGCACTATCTTCGGCTGAAGCAGAATATATCGCCCTCTGTACTGCGACCAAGGAAGGACTTTACTTACGAGAGCTGCTAGAGGAAGCGAAGATTGCGACCCTGCCCGTCTTCTCACTCCTCTGCGATAACCAATCTGCGATCAAAATCGCGAACAAGGACGGCTTCGCCAACTGAACCAAAC